ACAGTTAGAAATGGAAAAAGACACTCCAGCTATCAGTAGGTCACAATGAAATAGATGATGCACAGTTCAGTATCTTTTATCTCCAGTTTTCAATGAGGCTTAAAATACAACCTGATCACTCACAATATTTGAGAGAGTAGAGGTTGTGAAATGCTTATCTAAAATGGTAAGAAATAAAATAAGAATATGAGGGGGTTAAAACTCCTGGTGTCTTCCAGCCAGAGATGATCATGTCATAGATATGACAGCAAGTGAGAACATATGATTTATCAAGTATAAAACAGAATCAAATTTAGAATTTAAATACAATTTAGACAATAGTTGTAAACATCTTGAAGAGAAAGGGCAAAAAAAGATCCCCAGGAATTACAGTATCTTATTTCTGGACTCTGGTCTCAAGTGTTTGCTCACTAGTATGGAAAAAAAAAATCTACTTTTGAAATAAATTCTATGTGAAATAAAGTCTATGTGTAAATTAGAAGCTACAAAATAGACCTCTGCTTCCTGGATCATGCAAATTCCAACATACTTTGCCTCTCAAAGATGGAGGCCATGAGGCATCATCAAACACTCTCATCCAATTCCCTTTAAAATCAGGTTTCAAATTAGATACTAAAAAGTAGCCAGTCTGGTTTTTTTAAGCAAAATACAAAATTAATAACTGCTATTTTATACTGGGTAAAACAATTAGGTTTTCAGTATTAGTCACTGGCTCAGGAGTCTGCTCCTTAGCCTTCTATAGTATTAGGCATCATGTGATGGGTGATGCCATTTCTATCTTTTCTTGTAATGTATTTTCCTCCTTCCTATTTTGATCCAAGTTTTTACAGCTGAAGATAGTATTTCTCCACATTCAGCTAGATCCAGCTGAATGTGAATCTTTTCATGAATTGGTCTGTGGTTCAGATCCATGTTCAAGAATTTCTGACTTGAATTATTTGGCAAAAATATTTGCAAACTCCTTTCCCCAAGTCAGTATAATAAGAAGTGAGCCAGCTGGAAGACAGCTACTGAAAACAAGGTTAAAACACCTCAACTGCAGCTGTTCTTAAATACAGAGGTAAGTAGAGGCATCTTAATCAGATTTATCCCTGTCACGACAGGGGTAGAGAGCAGTTGCCCGTTTCATTGGCTCTTACTGCTCCTTATGAGAGGCTTGCAAAGAAAGAAAGGAAATTTTTAAAAGTATTGGCATTTCATATTTCTCAGAATATAGACAAGAAGTTCTAACAGCATGTCTTCAGAAGGCTGTATGGAGTAAAGTGAAGACAGGATTTAGATAATTAAGAGGCATTTAAAGATGTAAAACAAAGAGTAATAACTGATTTTCTTCATCTATGTAGTAGGAGAAAGGTGAACAGGAAGAAAGAAAAGAGTAAAGCTTGACACAGAGAAAGAAATATCTGGCCAAAAGAACTGACCTAGATAACTCCAGTTGTCACCTTCAATTGCAGGCTGTAGCTCTGCAGGAATGTGCAGCATGTTAGCCCTGTAGAATTGACAAGGACTGAGCAGTTAATGTCAGAATTTGGTAGAGATGTGCTGAGTTTAAGCACTTATGACTAGGCAAAACTTCAATAATATGGGTTTTGTTTTGCCTTCTTCCAAGGCTTTTTTACAATACTGTTTGGTGTCTTAAAAATTATTATATTTCTTCATTTTTCAAACTTACACAGTATTTAAAGTCAGCCTTGAAAACAAAGTACACCTCCAGTCTTGCAGTATCCAGAAGATAATATATTTGCCTAGGATAGGCCAAGACTAACAGGCATTAATACCTACTCTAAAACTGATAATGCAAAAGGCTGCTCTAGGGCCTTTTTCAGACAAACGTGTGGAAAACGTTTTCAGTCTTGAGTAGGGAAAGCATCTATGCACCATGACAGACTAAAAACTGTTGTTAACGTGGTGTTTCAGGAGGGCACAGACAACTGATTCCAGCAGGCATAGGCCCATCCTCTGGTGTACCATGTATGCTTACATTGTCAAATAGATTACAAATCAAAGCTCTCCTAGGGCCAATTATGCGCATATTTTTTCTATGTAGGAATAATAGCTCCTTTGTAGGCTAGGTGATTTTTCTTCAGAGGTAGAAGGTTCTGTGTTTCCACTGGGGTCTGTGAAAGATGAGTTATCAAAGGTCACTGCTCCATAGTCCTCTTAGCATCTTAAACTAAGTTATGAATTCAAGATAGCAAGTCAAAAATTGCAGAAGTGCTTCCAATTCTACCATAACTTGTCAATATATTGATGCATTCATTCATCAGACTAGTTTTGCTCTGACCTTGTGATCTCTTCTCCCATACTTTCTTTCCTATAAGCCTTGCTGTTTTGGGACTAACTGCCCCTCAGAAAGGCCCCTTCCCTCTTGTCATACCAAGTCAGGATTCAACTAATCTCTCTTAAAATAACTGTATAAAATTATGTGAGACATTCAGGGTTAGATTTCATTATACTTCCACAGGATGAGGAGGTCTTTGATCTCTGAATATCCATAGAAATAAAAGGAATTAATTAAGGAGTGAACTATTTAGCAATGTAAGAAGAAGATGACCTAGACCTTTGTCTGAAGCTGCAGTGTGGAAAACAGATCTAGAAAAGCCTACACACATTCTGGCAAGTATCACTTGTAACCATTCACTAACAAAGAGCAGGCAAACACCTTCTCAATTCAGGGGAGTCCTTCTGGTTGGCAGGTTGCCACCACAGCCTGAGATGATTAAGAACATTTTGCAATTGGTGTATCTATTACAGCTTGCCAAGAACAGTCACCAAGCCACAATTCAACTTGCTGTCATTGTTCACAGTTTGGTGGTATGAATCACGTCTCCCACTCACCACTTTTATCTCCAGTATTATCTTCAAAGCCTGCCTCCAACTTCCTGCCACTTGCTTCCACTGCACCCTCTGTCTCACATAATTACTGAACTAGAATATCACGCGTCCGGTCTTCTGGTCAGAACACAGGTTGTGTATCCAGTATACAGAGGAAAGGGAAAGGGAAATCCCTTACACTGAAGCATCCTTCAGTCTTACATTTCATGTCAAAAATTCACCTTTGCTTAATTCCCTGTAATCCAGTGGTATGTAATTGAAAAATTACCATAATGCATCTCATTTTTCACTTATTCTATGTCATATGGAATTGCTCAGAGTATGTCAAAGTAACATCAGTCCTTATGCAGATTTCCTCTGCTGCTATTTCTTGGAGAGTTTGCTGAGCTACTGGCCAATCTGTTTCAGTGCTTTATCTAGAGACCTCCATTTATACAGTAGCTAATTTTCAACAGAAAAGACTTAATGCAGAGTGGGTTATGTCTTCATTAATGGAAAAGCAATATGCACCAATATGCAAAATATGTCCACTGGAAAAAAAAAAGCCTTTGCAGCCATCTGCATATTAATATTTAGAGTGGGGTTTTGACTCATTAAAGAATAGCCAAGCAATTCCCTTCATCTCAGTAGAATTCTCCCATTATACATGAGCTCTTGATTGGGAAACCCAGTAATGCAGAAGCCATAGCTGATGGACATCCTAATCAGCCCTTGGAAGCTAAGTACATGCTAGCAAATGGTATGGATCTACAGGAGAGGCTGTGTAAAGAGCAACAGTTGCTAAGGATATGGCACATCCACTGCAGGTATTTCAGCCTGAGCTTACAGAGAACCAGGTCTAGGCTGGTCCCATGGAACAAATGGCCACCAACAGCAGAGAGGGAAGATGATCCCTACAGGGACAGCCTCTGTTTTAAGTTTGCCTAAAGACAGTCCAGTCTGTGCACTTTGAGAGTGCTTTTCAACGTGAAGCAAGCATAATGAGAGGTGGTAATATGGAGATATTTTTAAGTGTGCTTCTCATTTGAACTGAAGCATCAAGGTAGGAGCACCCTAGGTGCGTTTGGCTGTCAGCAAACCTTCACTCAGGTTTACAATTTGTATACAAAAAAATGCCCAGCTCCTCCCTGCTCAATATGACAGCATTTAACATGCAGGCTTCTGTTTTCTGCTTACAAGATGATATTTCTTGGCAGAAAGCACAGAGGAAGCACCTGTTATTACATCACTAGAATCGTGACAAGAACTGAGTCAGAGCCTCTGAAGCCCAAGGAATCTAAGGCAAAAGCATTAACTCCAAGTATGAGGAGTTGCTTGAGTCCCTTCAGAGCACTTCCTCATCTCCTAACTGGAAAGCTCACAACTTCATTGGCTCTGAACTTCTTGAAAAAATTGGACCTCATGGTAGCAGGGGAGGGAGAAGAGTTCTGTCATCCTTTGTCATACAGTTTGTAAAGAATTGGAACCTGCATTTTACATGCTCCAAATCACTGGAGACGAATACAGTAACATTAGTGCTGCACATTTCTCTCAGACCTCCCTACCACAGTATTAAGCATACCTGCTGTTTGTGTATTGTATGAGATGCATTATTAGAACGAGCACACACATCTGCATGTAATAATAAGTGTAGAAAAAAATAACTTTTAAAGTTATCTAGCCCACATATAAATGTATATTAATGTATTAATGTATTATGTATACTAATACATAATCTTTAAAACATTCTTCATATATGTATACAGAAATTTACAAATACACCTACAGTCAGATTTTACATATATTGAAGCATGAATACATGCATGCTCATGTACTGAAACTATGGAGACACTAAAGCTATGACAAGAAGTTTTAATAACTGGAGAACAGTTCGTATCTTTTCTATCTATTTTCGTATGAAAACTTATTCTGCTTTCTGATAGTTAAACTGACAAGTGATGATTTCTGGGAAAAAAAAACACAACAACAACAAACAAACAAAACAAAACAAAACAAAATAAAGGAGTTCTGTTCATTTTAAAATGCAACAGATAGTGAGAAGGTGATTTATCAGTTCTGCCTCTACAACACACAAGCAATCTGTAAAAACCTCTTCCAAAATTATTAAGCTAAATTAAGAGAATACAAATGCAGTTCTCTTAATTTGGGAATGTTCAGCAACTTACCTGTACAAGCAAAGTTTTCAGGCTTTAATCTGTATCCATTAGGACAGTTCCAGTGCTGCAGAGCTGAGAGGCTGACAAAACCAATTTTAAAAACCACTGGCAAAAAAGCAACAAGGAATAGAAACATAATCTTGAGGGGGCTTTTGAGCGGTCACTAGAGAAAAACTAGCTTGTATTCAGTCATATCCAGGACAAGATGAGCATGTATAATCCCAAAAGTTTTCTGCAATCTGCAACTTTAGACTCAGACATCTTATCACAATTTCAAGTTTTGTCTTTGCCTTGCTTTTCTTGTCACTTTAGACCTTACTGTGTCTGACTACAACCTTGAAGAAATTCCTGGGAGATTTCTTCCCCACACACATCAGAGCTTTTTTTCTCTCTCTCTTTCGTTTCTTTTTTTTTTCTCTTTTGGAAGCCAAGTATGAAATGCCTGACACTCTTGCCACAAATTTAACACAGCTTAAAAGCCATGCTCTCAAGGATCACTTCAAATTTCCGTTCAACAAAGCTGCCATTTAAATCTTAAAAGCAGAGAATTCAGAAAACTTCACCACAGCTCTCAGTGGAGTGCAGGGAGCAAAATCTCCAGGTACCGTCTGTCTGCGAAATGCAGTTGTTTTTCACATTCAGACTTGGATGGACTCCTCTTTTCTTTTTAAAGCTCTGTTTGCCCCACCTCTTCTCTTTTTAGTACCACTTGAGTGAACCCTGTGTTTGCAAATAGTAATGTGGTCAGTTCCTTACTACAGGGAACTGAGCCAGCATGCAGATATCCAGCCGCCCATAATAAATACAGTCTCTTTAGAAAAGCAACGCCTCCTGCTTGAGAAGTACCTGCAGCTTGACAGCAGTTTTTTTCCACAGAGACTGTAAGCAAATTTATTCAATTCCTGTTCAATAATGATTAGTTGCATTCCTCTTAATGTCATCATGTGTTTTACCACCAGAAACAAATTTTTTCATCAAAACATTTCATGTAAAAATCAGAGGAAAAAATTCCCCCTGGTTTCTCTAATACATTTTCACTGGAAATCTAAATCAGCTTAAGGTCAAGTTCAGATCCAGGGTACGTGTTTGTAATTTTGAATTAAAACTATCCATCTCAGGTCTGAATTTCACCCTTATGCATTTCTAGAAGAATACCTGTTGTCAGAGACTGGGATAATGTGTTCTGAGCCTGTATCACCCACAGATGTTGCAGTCATTTATATGTACAGTGGTACTGCACAAGGCTGCTGTCAGGATGCAATGCTCTTTTACACCTGTTCCACTGAGGTGTGAAAGCTAGAAAAATTCCGGGTGGTCATAATTCTTCAGTATTGAAAAAAATCTCCTTTTTCCCAGTCTATCAGCCTACATCAGCAAAGCTCTAGAGCATATGCTTGTGCGTCTAAGATTTACTGAATTTTGAAAGTGCTGAGTTTTAAGCATGTGTTTAAATGGTTGGCTGTGCCAGGCTTTGTTGAGCTAACTACTGTGAGGCAATCTGATTCTGTCACTTTTTTCTCTGCTTTCATTTTTTAAAATTTTATTTCTGGAGTGTTGTGCTGGAATGAATACTAACACAATAGCTGGATAGAGCAGCAGCATCAGAAGCATCAGAAGCATCATACAACTGTATGAGTTCTGTCTCTTGGAATTGTCCCTCTCTTCTCCCCTCCCCATATTTGTCTGAATTGATAAGAGTCCAGACTTGTACTGACAGAAAACAGGATTATAACCTGATTATAAATTGGGCCCTCTCCATTAAAAGTAACTGTTTCTTGATGTTTCTGTTTGTGTGCAGGCACATTCTGGTCTCTCAATGCTCACTGCTACAGCCACTGCAACTAATTAAATCCAGACTGACAAATGGCAGCCACATTTTCATGTACTCTGTTCAGAACTGAGTTTTTATCCCATATGCTATGCCATAAAATACAATAACAGTAATGTAAATTATGCAGGGCCAGACTCATGCCAAAGAGGATTTGCTTCTCCAAATAGTCCCCGGGAATACAAACGGGCAAACAATGTGAAAGCACAATATAATGCCATCCCATCTAGGATTACAGGATCCTGCCCAGGAACTGTGGTATGTTCTACATGAACCTCTTTTACTAATTCTGCAGTCATCAGCTCCTCCTCACACAATTTTCTTCACTGTTCAAGCTGGGAGCAAGCAACCTTAACAGGGTAAAAGGAATGTGTCACTTCTTTGTGAGCAGCCACCAGCAGAATGTTTGTTAGACTGTGAGGGTGGCCATCCCAGCACATCCCTGACCTCTTCCAGGGCAGACTCAGACAAACTCACTGAAGGAGACAAAGTGAATAAGCTCGCCCTTTCCTTTTAAAACCCAGAAACAATTTCTGTCTCACATTCTTTTTGTCTCTCATTTACATACGTTGTCTTTTCTGAACATCTCCCTCCATCTCCCCCCACTGCTCCCTTTCCACATTTGCCTTTACACAAAACATAGTCAAAGGCACATCCCAGAATTTCTTTTTTTCCCTCTAAATTAAATAGAAATACAGAACTGTCTGACATGCTAATACCACAACAACCCTTTCTGATGGAAAAAAACCCTCCACTTTAGACAGGTAGAAACCAGTTAATAAAGTTGTTAATTTTACCATCCTAGAAGTATAAGAATGGCTTAAAAACAGAAAGAAAAACATCTTAATAGTGGAATTATTTTTTTACCCTTAAACCCCAAATTTAACTTGAACCAGAACTAGCTACCAAACCCACAGGATGATATGATTTATATGACATGATATGATTGAGATATGATATGATATAATGATATGATATGATGATACGAGCCAAGGAACGTAACTATCCATTTGAAAGCGGATAGAACCAACCACCTCCCCCTACAACAAACCAGAAAGTGCTCAATAAAGTATTATATGCATCAGGCTGCGCCACACTTACACTTTTAAAACATATTAGTTTTCACCAAGTGGGTCAGCACACTGCTCACAATAATTCTGTTACACCTGAAGTCATTTACTATTTAGAAGTTGTTCAAATGAGTTTCTATAAAGCAAACTATTGTGCTGTCCTTCAGGTATTAAGTACAGCCATCTACATTAGTCTGGCACTCATATGATAGATTAGACCAAAGTAGTTCAACAGTCTAATTTATAGGGCTCACTGCAGGACTGGTCCCAATGATCTTAAAATCATCCCAGTTCATCATATGTAAAGAACTTAGTTGAATTTGACCTGCTGACTCAAGACACTTCTAAACTAACAGCAAATAAACATTATATCCCTTTCTCTTGGAGTTCTCACTATCTTGGTTGGCTTTGGAAGGCTTTTTTACCAAAGCTGGGAAAGATCAGCTAACAATTCAAATGCAGGAGCTTCTTGGCAAACAGCTGCTCTAGTTCAAGGACAGTATATTCTGATTGTTTCTAAACTGTGGAGAAAACACTCGTCCCTCAGCTTCCCAGTGCTTTCATTATCTGCATTGTACTAATAAACACATTGTTTAAATCATATATTGACTTTTATTCTTGCTCACTACACATTACATTAGCATGTCAGCAGTTGGACTTCTTTTTCTGTCAGCCTCTGAAAGGCTAATTCTGGCCTTAGGTATATTCTAGTGGGTTAAAGTTATATTTTATAGTAAACATAAGCCAAATTACCATCAACACAAATTAATTATTAAATGTGAATTCACTGATGTAGCATAGGAAATGTGTAGCAGCTATCTCTAGTACAAATAGCACAGAGCAGTGAGGAACATTCAGATCCCACAAAACAGATTCCAGAGCCTCTGCAATGGCCCCAGAAAATCTGCCAGCCCTTGGGAAAAGATGCTCCCATATGTGTAACTCTGTCAGAAACGGTATTGCCACCAGAGAAGCTGATTGGCACAAGCAATTTTTGTGGTGATACTGAGGATTTCTCATAGTCTTCAGAAAAAAACACCAACAGTTGCCTAAGCCTGCCTTACACCTATTTGCTGAAGCCTGATCTCAGGGTCAGTGTGGGGCTAGCTGACTGATCACTATATTTTCTCTGACATGACAGTGCCTGATTCATTATTGTTAATGTCATTTCAGCAGGTTCAGCCTGCATCATCTATAATTCTGACAAAAGGGACATTATGGAATACTAAATTGCCTGTCAGAGCAGAGAGAGGCACAGCATGAGAGACTGGCATATTCCAGTGATGTCTAAAAGCAGGAATGCCTGAAATCTCCTCCTGAGGTACGATGGCCATTCTGGCTTTGTCCTCAAGTATGTCACTCATCACTTCAACAGTTTGGAGATTATATTTGGCTGGCAGGATGTTTAAATTTAATGTACTAATAAAATTAATTAAAGAGTGGGGCTTTAAATCTTGAAAGTTTTTTGAAAACCGTGTTATTGTAAGTAATCACTTTGCAGTTGTCTGTTGCACAATAGCAATTATGACAAACATCCACCGGATTTTTTTTGGAATTTGAGTACCATAATTTTTCTGCCATGGTTACATTTTTTTCCTACTACAAACTGATCTTAAGGAAAATAAAAGGTTTAAATAGTCTGTGTTTAAAGTATATTCTTAATTATAGCTGATACAATATTTTTAAAAGCAGTTTTACATTTAACATTTTAACAGGCACCTTTCATCAGCTGCTATACAGTAAATACTTCATCAGCTAGACCATACTGGAATCCACAGAAGGTTCCAGAAAGAAAGTTAAATATGTTCTCTCTCCTATCCCAACAGCCAGAACAGGAGTGAAACATTCTGGGGAAGCTACATAGCACATTACTGACTTATGACATTTATCAATGTTAGATGACTACTTTAGGCCTCTATGTTAACAGACATGAAGGAGTAGTTAAAATAGCATGTTGAAACAGTCAGTTGGCTCTCTGAGGTGGAAATAAAACTGAAGATAAAGAAATTAATTTTTTTACCACTAATAAGATCTATGCAGCTTGCTATGCGAGAACATTTAAGAAAGGATCTTAGTAACAAGTATGGAATTAGTTCACTATCAGAGTAAAAAACTGTATCCTCTCTGTGTGTTTTGCTGTTTCCACCCCAAGAGTAGCTCTGTTTCCCTCACAGCAAAATTATTTCTAGTACACATACTAGAACATCTGCTCTAACAGATCTCTCAGGACAAAGGCACTGGCTGAAATCTAATTTCACTAATTTTTAGAGTTCCTGAGCACTCATCATTTACACTGACATCAGTAAGAGATTAGGAATTTGTTTGTCAGTCCATAGGTTCTTATTTGAGGTCTATCTATTCCAGATACTGATACTTCTACCTTTTTTATCCTGCAAGATCTGGCCTTAGGAGGTGAACAATTAAATTTACTTGTTTAGTCAACTTTTTCTACCTC